CGCACACACACAGATATATATATATATATATATATATATATATATATATATATATATATATATAATATATATACATACATACATACATACACACATACAAACACACATACACACACGCGCACACACTATTAAATGTGCTTTAAATGTGTTAATTAATGGTTATAAAAAGTTAAATTAATTTATTTATTGATTTGAAAATAATAATAAAATGGTTTTATATGATTAAAATAATAACATGATTAATAATAATAATACCAATAATTATAAATTTATGATTATTTAATACGTGTTTGAGCAATTAATTATACTAGGTTTTGTAGTATAATTTTATTACATAATGGACTATCATTCGTCAACTCACATAGATTACTGAATAATGTAAGTATTTTTTCATTTATGATGGTGATTAAGTTTGATGGCAGTCTTAATTAATTAATTAATTTCAATTATCATCACCATCACCATGAACCCGTTTGTCAAAATTGCTTTCATCAGCATCATCTCTATCATCGTCATCATCATCGTCTATATCATCATCTATATCATCATCTATGTCATCATCGTCTTCATCAACATCTTAATATTAACGAAAAAATTCTCGTTATTCAATAGACATGAAAAATATTTGCAGAGACTTATGCGCGTATACTGTGCATATACATCTATACACACCCACACAACACAGACACGCGAAACACGCACACACGTACACACACACACACATACACGCGCGCGTGGAAGTTGACATCACGGATGACGTCAACTCGATGGGAAGCGTTTGAAATGTTAATGTCGAAATGTTGTTTTTCTTTCTTGCTAATAATTAATTTGCAGTAATATTCTTGGTGGGGTTTCTAGCCATTTATTATTATTATTATTATTACTATTATTATTATTAGCATCATGAACCTAATTTATTATTTTTATTATTATTTATTTGTTTCGTACAATAGAGAATACGCGCAGTTGAGCAAATGTTATTTAGGCTTTGAATATAAATATATAATGTACCAAGTTACACACACACACAAACAGACACACACACACACACACACACACACACACAAACACTCTAGAGCTAATAATGACGTCATGTTGGTTGCTAAGGAGATGAAGTAATAAGCATGTCCACGTGACTCCCTTGTGCTTCCGGGATAAAAATAAGTTTGTTTTCAACAGCAGCAGCAACAGCAACAAAAAAAACAACAATAAACATCTGTTTTTTTTCCAGTTTCATTTAGTTTTGTTTCATTTATTTATTTCAAAGTTTAACTTACTTGAAACATCTTTGTTTCAATGTATACGGTTTGTTTACCTATCTTTGCTTAATCTATTTTCTACGGTTTGTTTATTTATTTGTCTATGTTTTATTTTCTATTTCCTTCCGGTGCCCAGCGACACGATTTTACATCATGCTTATCAGAGCAAGAAACATTTCAATTCAACGGCTTTTATAGTTTGGTGCGATGAATGAATGAATGAATGAATGAACGAACGAATGAATGATTGAATGAATGAATGAATGAATGAATGAATGAACGAACGAACGAACGAACAAACGAATGAAAGAATACATTTAATGAATGAATGAATGCATTTAATGAATGAATGATTGATTGAATGAATGATTGCACAATACTAATCACCATCGTCATCATTTTAGATAAAAACACGCCTACATAAACACTCACTGACGAAAAGACCTTCGAATGATTATTATCATAGAATCCGCCCACACATATGTTTGTTGATGTTGTTGTTGATGTTGTCGTTTTTGTTGTTTTTGTTTTTGTTGTTGTTGTTGTCGTCGTTGTCGTTGCTGTTGTTTTTGTTGAGGATATTGTTGAAGATGATAATGTTGATGTTGTTGATGATGATGGTGTTGATGAAGATTATACTGTTGTTGTTGTTTCTTGGCTGTGTTCTTCTTTATTTTCAAGTTCTTTCTTCGAAATTCAATCACTCTTTATTATTTTCAGTTTATTACACATTTTAAGCATTTCATTTTTTAAATTTATTCAGAATTTACGGAAAAAAATATAAGAAAAAAAATTACTATTGTAAAGACTAAATAGTAGTGTGTGTGTGTGTGTGTGTGTGTGTGTCCCCGTGTGTTTTTGTGAGCGTATGTTCATTGCCACGTACGTCATTATGACGTCATTGTCTTCGTTTATATTTAACAGGAAGTGTTTGCTTTCAACAAGATTATACACGTCGTTATCATCATCGTCATTACAAACAACAACAATAACGTCATAATTATCATCACCATCACAACCATCATCATCACCACCACAATCATCATCACCACCACAATCATCATCACCACCACAATCATCATCGCAATCATCATCATTACAATCATCATCATCACAATCATCATCATCATCCTCATCATACAAACATCATCGACAACAACGTAATCTTCATCACCATTATCAAATCACCATCATCGTCGTCAACGTCATCGCCGTAATAAACATCATCATCATCATAATAATCACTATCATCATCAACATCATAATAATCACTATCATCATCAACATCATAATAATCACTATCATCATCAACATCATAATAATCACTATCATCATCAACATCATAATAATCACTATCATCATCAACATCATAATAATCACTATCATCATCGTCATCATCATCGTCGTCATCATCATCGTCGTCATCATCGTGTAATGCTAAACACAGTCGTCATGGGCCTAGCATTCAGCAACCTAAGGGAGTCCATGTGCTCGAAGAAGAAATATGGCGATGATGGCGACAGTGACGATGGCGATGATGAGAATAAACGAAATAATAATAATGATAATAATAATAATACCAATGACAACGATGATGGAACAAATTGCTCGTCATGGTTGAAAAATAGACTTAATTTCAACAACAACAACAACAACATCAATAACAATAATAATAATAATAATAATAATAATAATAATAATAATAATAATAATAATAATATTGTCAACAACAACGATAATAAAAATAATTATTTTGAGGCAAACGCTAACTTCAACGGTGACGTATCGATCGATTTGGATGACGATTACGATGACGTAACGAATAATAGAACAATAACAATAATAAATAATAATATCAACAACAACAATAATAATAACAACAACAACAATCAACCGTCGTCAACATCAACAACGACAACAGCAATCCCATCAAAAGCTTCGCTAGAAAATTGCTCCAACATCAGCGAGGAGTTCAACAGTACCGCAGACAATAATATCTCTAACGATTATAAATCTCACCTTAAGGATGACCTACACGACGTTGGGTCAGAGTTTGAAGGTCACAGAGGTCAGGCTAAAAATAGAGATGACCCTTGTAGTGGCTCGTCGAACAATGCCGAAAAATTGGAGATTGTGGTAACGGATGAGAAGGTAGATTGTGGAGAGGATGACGTTGTTGTTGGGAAGAAAGAAGATGAGGATGTTGGGATAGGTCAGTTAGGCAACAAACAGGCAGAAGCAAACAAACAAAACCAACAACAGTTTGTACAAAAACAACAATTACAACAACAACAACAAACTCAACAACAACAGCAACAACAAACTCAACAACAACAACAACCTCAACACCGCAGGCTATCTCTGAACTACTTCAACTCTTTCAAAAACAAACTCTTCAGAAAACTATCGGCCACATCAACGCCAACATCGACTGCAGCAGCAGCAGCAGTTACGACGTCAACGACAATAACCACATACTGCAACAGTGCTGCAACAACAACGAATTACATCAAAGACAGCAAAAACTTTGTGGTGTACGTTTCCAAAAACAACACATGCACCGCCATCACTTCGGTTAACGCCACACCATCTTCAGCCACACCGAACAACCAATACCACCACCAACAACAACAAAATAAAAAAACAAAACAACATTACTTTTCGACCGATTCAGCAGCAGCAGCTGAAGCGACCACAAAACTCGCAAAAACAAAACGCCCGAGCTTGAGACAACGACTATTTAAAACTCACGCCGAGACAAAACTAACAAAAATCATCAGACAGCAAGACATTCAGCAACGAAACTTACAGCAAGCTACATCTTCAGCAGTGACATCAATATCGAATGTCAAATCACAGCAACAACATCAACAACAACGTCAACATAAGCATCATAATCGTCGTTGTGAGTTTTGTTTGGAAACGAACTGCGATGGTGCTTGTGAAAGCAGAAGCGCGTCAAAGAATAAGAAAGCTTCAATGTTGGTATTACAATTATTTCACGATTTTTTCATTCCTTTAAATATTCTTAAATGAATTTTAAATAAATTGATTTTTATAACTGGTTTAAATTGTTATTTTATTTCTTTATGAATATTAACAGGCGTCAATTTTTTTAAAGATCCTTCATTTTCTTTTACATTTCGGGTCTCATTTCTTTGGGCTACAGAAAAATTTGTATTTCAACCCATCAAAATTTTGACAAAATTAAATTTATACAAAATTAATTTTAAAAAATTTTTCTCTGACAAAAGCTTCTTCCAATTAGTGAACATCCGTCTAGAAAATTTGCATCTTGTAAACTTCAAAATGCCACAAGTACACTCTATCGTACATTGGCTGTACTGTATAATTGTTGTACTCTTGTTGTACACACACACACACCTACTTACAAACACAAACACACCCATACACACACCACACACGCGCATACACAGCCACACACAACCACACACACACTTATACATATACACAAACATGTTTTTAAACTTGTACACTGAAGTACAGGAACGTACAAACGCACGTTTAAGATGCACTTAGTAGATTGCGAAAAACAAAATAAACTAACAGATAAAGAGGCAAAACGACAAACATACCGACAAATATACCGACAAACATACCGATAGACATACCGGCAAACAGAGACAAACCGACAAACATACAGACAAACAAACTGACAGAGGAACAAAAACGCACCAACACTTCTGACGTCACAATGAATCTTCTTCAAAAGCGATTCCTGCGGTCCGTAATTTTGAAAAATACGAGCGGACTTTGTGAATAATAAAAAAAGAAGAACGTATATAGTATACACTCCAAACTCTCACACACACCACACACACAGATACACACACACGCACACATACACACACACTATCACATCAGTGCCTATGCAAACCCAGGCTCAATGACGTTCTCTGTATGTATGTATGTATGTATGTATGTATGTATGTATGTATGTATGTATGTATGTATGTATGTATGTATGTATGTATGTATGTATGTATGTATGTATGTATGTATGTATGTATGTATGTATGTATGTATGTATGTATGTATGTATGTATGTATGTATGTATGTATGTATGTATGTATGTATGTATGTATGTATGTATGTATGTATGTATGCATGCATGTATGTATGTATGTGTGCATGTATGATGTATTTCATTTCATTTTTCATTTTCAAAGTTTTATTCATAATCAACAACATATCAAATAAGTGAATAAAAGTTATGAAGTTGAATAGGCAGAGACCGAATAAGACTGTTTGTCTTGTGGTGGCCACTGCAGGTAGATACATGAATAGTTAATGAAATAAAATAAGGAAAATAACTGAAGCAGAAAAATAATTGAAGATAAATAAGCAAATGTTCGTGTCATACATATATAGACATCAAACTATGTAAATGTTCGCTCAGTACATATATAAACACATAAATGTTTAACCATTCATAAAGACCATTCATCCGCATCATTTGTTCTAACGTATTCTTAATATAATATTAGGTGGTGGAGTCGAGATCCAGTGTCAATAAAAAAGCACGGAATTTTGACTTGAAATGTTGTAGGTTTATGATGGCTCTTAGATGGGGAGGTACAAGTTCTGTCCAAATTTTAGGACCTGTTATTTTTACGCTTGTCTGGATTAATTTGAGGCGAGTTTTGTAGATATAGAAGAGAGGGGTGTGTCTAGTAGAGAGGGGTGTGTCTAGTAGAGAGGGGTGTGTCTAGTAGAGAGGGGTGTGTCTAGTAGAGAGGGGTGTGTCTAGTAGAGAGGGGTGTGTCTAGTAGAGAGGGGTGTGTCTAGTATGTATGTATGTATGTATGCATGCATGTATGTAAGTATGTATGTAATTATTTTTCTCATTCTTTTTTATTATTCCTATTACTTAACAAGATTTTTCGTGTTAGCGCTAACGAGCATTGTCGAAGATTTAACTTTGAAGACGATTTTTTAGATTCAGGCTTATTATTATCATTATTATTGTTTTTATTATTGTTATTTATATTATTGCGATAATTATTATTATTTAATTATTTTTATTTGTATTCTCGTCACTGCAACCTTCACCCATCCGTTGCCACGTTGCCCTGGGGTCGTCGTCGCTATGACAACCAGCTGAGAGTGACGTAGGATGATGTCATAATGCTCACGCACACACACACACCACACACACACCACACACACACACACACACAGAGAGAGAGAGAGAGAGAGAGAGAGAGACCACAATCAACATACGTTCTCACAAATACACACTACAAAAACACACACAGATCACAATCACACACGTATTCACATAGACACATACACACACAAACCAACAATCACACACGTACTCACAGACCCGCACAAGAATATTCGCTGCTGACATAGTATGTCTTTTAAATTGCATCAAACCAGTTGGATATATTGCAGGAAAGCTGCTGAGATAATTGTTGCTTTAGAAATTGAAATTACTAATAGTGACGTCATACATTACTTACATTATCTTACATTACCATTTAAATTTCAGTGTGTGTTGTTATCATGTGTGTGTGTGTGTGTGTGTGTGTTGTGTGTGTGTGTATGTCTGTCTGTGTGTGTGTGTATGTCTGTCTGTGTGTGTGTGCAATTGTAACTGATGTGATACAGTTACAATTGAATACCGTAATTGTATGGGACATTATTGTATGTAATAATTCACTCAAGTACAAACAGTATACATGATACAAATGTACAAACAAACAAAGATGCAAACATAATAACGAAGATATAAGCAAATATATAAATATACAAACATACAACCACACATACAACCAAACATACAAACACGCATACAAACACATATACAAACTTGCATATTGACATCTGAAACTTTTTTATTCCCTACAGTCAATTAAGACTAATTTAAAAGATTTTAAAAAAAATTATAAGCTAATTGAGAAAAATTCCACCGTGAAAGTAAAGTTAAAATAGAAAAATAAATAAAATAAACACACTAACAACCACACACACACATACAACCACACACACACACACACACACACACACACACACAGAAAGAAAGAGAAAAAGAGAAAGAGTGAAAGATACATACATACATAATTTATTGGGATGCGTGTCCAGTATTCAATGAATGACCACGGAAATGATATTAGCGATGACCCAGCTACGTATATACATATATAAGCCAATTTTTGATGATATATTTACCTATACATACGTATAATGTGAATGATGCATAGTGCATAACACACACACACACACAAACACAAACACACAGTCACACAGACACACACATATACACACAAACACACACAGATACACACACAGACACACATATACACACACAAACGCACACACACATACACACAAAAACACACAGACACACACACACATGCAACTTGCCGAAACTCGAACAAAGATATTTTTAAATAACGTCAAATGCGACAAACTAATTAAAATTGATATTCTCAGCAGCAGATGAAAAAGAAGAAAGAGAGAGAAAGAGAATAGAGAGAGAGAAAAAAAGAGAAAAAGAGAGAAAGAGAGAGAGAGAAAGAGAGAGAGAGAGAACGACAGTAAGTGCTCACAACAGGCTAAACTGGTATAAGCTTTTTTCTTGCTTGGCTTTTATTTGTCGCAGAAAGACAGAATAGCGCCTAGCACTAAATTAATTCCTAACGTGTATAAACATCGAAATGTATGTATCATTGTGTGGGAATGTGTATTGCGCATGTTTGTGCTTCTGAATGTATATGTGTGTGTTTGTATATGTTTGTTTGTGTGTGTGTGTGTATTTGAATAGGGGTATGTGTATTGTGGGCTGCTCTAGATTTTATTTGCCATTAATGTTTACGGATATATACATATACATATATATATATATATATATATATATATATATATATATATATATATATATATATATATTAATGCATTTAAGATAAGTTATATACACACACACACTCTCTCTCTCTCTCTCTCTTTCTCTATCTTTTTTCTCTCTCTCTCTCAATCTCTCTCATACACCCACACATTTTTGGATTGCTAGACAATAATCTAACATGAAATTTTCATTTTAAATTTAACGGATTTCTTATTTAGAAAAAAAAGTCATTTTGAGATGATTATTTTATTTTCGTGACGTAATTTTGAATTTGTATAGAGCTACACTTTTTTTTTATAGTTCCTAGCAGATGCGCGTGCCTGATATGTTGTACATATTCGTATTAATGTTGGAAGGAGACCATATTTTATACAGTATTGTATGAATTCTATCGAATTGTTAGCATTATTCAAGTTAAAGTTTGAAGAATTAAAAAAATTAATAAAATTAAAATTGATTAGTGCCAACAATTCGGTAGAATTCATACAACCAGTATTAGTGTAAACATAATATGTAATACTTATAAGTAACAATAATAGCGGAATAGAAATTTTTTGATGAAAATTTTCGTCATTAAGTGATTCATTTGTTAATGATGTTGAAAATGTTTTTAGTGATTTGGATGTAACGTGTGCTTTAGTGATGTTGTTTAAGCTGATGATGTTAACGTCATTGTTCATGTTACTGATGGTACGATGTTGATGTTAACAAATTTGTTGAAGACAACTTGTTGTTGTTGTTGCTGTTGTTGATATTGTTGTTGTTGTTGCTAAGATTGGTGGTTAGGTCATGTTTTAACGGAATTTTTTTTGCTCAGTTTGATTTCTCGCCCATCATCGTCATCACTTTAGTTATCGTCGCCATCTTAAAAATCATCATCACCATCATCATCATCATCACCACCACCACCATCGTCATCATCATCATTACCCCCATCACCATCATCATCATCCTCTGTTGAGTGGCTGCAGGATTTGACGGAAGTTGTTGGGATCCTTCTGCTGTTGGAGTTTCTGGATCATTTGTTGCTGGTAGTAGAGCGGCGAGTAGTCCGTTGCAGTGTTCTGTACGTTGTAACTGTTGAATCCATGAGAGGACTGTGGTAAGTAAGGGTTGATTGGTTGCTGAAGTTGGAGTTTCTGTTGCTGAAACTGTTGCTGAAACTGTTGCTGCTGCGGTTGCATCATGTGCAAATAGGCAGGCTGCAGTTGCATCACGTGCTTGCCATAGCTTAACTGATTTTGTTGTTGTTGCAGTTGCATCTGTTGCTGCTGCTGCTGTAACTGCTGTTGTTGTTGCTGTTGTTGTATCTGCAAGAGTTGCTGCTGAAACTCGTCGTGCATTTTTTGCTGCTTGACCGCCATTTCTAAAGGATTCATTCCTCGCCTGTTAATTTGAGCAGTTTGTTGCGGGTTTTGTTGCGGTTGTTGTTGCGGCTGTTGTTGCGGCTGAGAATATCTGAGCATGTTACAACTGAACATGCTCTGCTGAGAGGGTTGAGGCCTCGAGTTGTTCATGTTGTTGTACTGTAGGTTCATTGCATTCTGAAGGGAGAATATGGAGGGTCGTTGTCCGTTCATCGCTTGAGTTAATTGTTGCTGCTGTTGCAGACGTTGCTGCTGCTGCTGCTGAAAAAATTGTTGCTGTTGTTGCTGTTGCATAAATTGTTGTTGCATGAATTGTTGTTGTTGTTGTTGTTGGAGATGGTAGGGGTTGTTGGAGATGTTGTTCATCTGATCGGGGAAACGAGAGGAAGCATATGATGATGCATGGTGCATTGGTGGCTGCATGTACATGGAGTTCATCTGGAAGGAGGATGGAGAAATTATGGAGATGAAGATGACGACGACGATGGAGATGATAATGGTTATGATGATGTTGGTTGGAGATGGCGATGTTGAAGATGATAAGGATGATGATGACATTCTTACTCTTGTGCCTGCTAAGCTAATTTTTAAATGTTTTATCGTACTTCTGTCGCCTGTAGAAATGGCGGGAAATATGACAACGCATACTAATGCTTGCCATCATCGTCATCATCATCATCATCGTCATCATCATCGTCATCATCATCTTTATCACCAACATCGTCATCATTATCACCATCGTCATCATCATCATCATTATCATCATCGTCATTATTATCACCATCATCGGCCTCGTCATCATCATTATCAGCATCATCGTCATCATCAGCATCATCATCATCGTCGTCGTATTTATCAGAAATATAAAATAATAAAATACTTCTCAAATACTCCAGGTTAATGAGTATTTACTGAAGAAATGCGCCGGACGTTATGACGTTTGTAAGCAGCTCGCATAAGAAAGTCGAAAGGAGGTATATAAATAAAAGAATAAATATAGATGGAAGGGTAGAATGAAAGAAAGAATGAATAAAAGAATGAATAAAAGAAAGAATGAAAGAAAGAATGAAAGAAAGAATGACGAGTGTCACATAAAAGAGGTAAAAATATCGGCTCATAAGAGTTTGAAGGATGGCACTTCATATTTGCGTCCCTTCATTTTTTTTTTGTAACACGTTGTAACGTTGTAAAGGAGTAAAGGTGTAATGTTCTAAAGTTGTTTTGGTTCTGAATTATTGTAAAGAACGCTAATAACGGTTTTAAATATACTAGACACAAACTTTAACCCTAAATTGATACTATACCACCAACTGTTATTACTAAAAATACATACCCATCTGTTTGAAAATGACGATTGACATGTCTGGTCACACACACACACACACACACATACACACATACATACATACACACACACACACACATACATACACACGCATGCACACACACACATACACGTCCATACAGAGAAATACACGCATACAATCAAATACATTTGCAAAGTCGAACATGCACCAGTCTTTCTAAATGCTTTCTTTCATTCGTTCAATTCACTAGGCAATCAATCACTCTAGAAAAATCACCATCCATTCATCAATCAATTAGTTTCTCAGCTTTTTGATTATTTAGTTAGAGCAATTTTTCAAATTTTTTTCTCAAATTTTTACGATTTTTAAAGGTAATTCATTTTTTGCCCCGTTTGAAAATCAAACAATTTTTTCTAAAAATTAGGACTTTTATAACCAACTTACAATTTCTTATGAACTACAGATAAAACAGCCTGTGATAGAGTATCTCGATGTATCAGGATGAATAGTATATCATCTTATCATCATGATACAACTCATCACAGTTCATCACAGTTCACAGAATTTCAAACTTAAATTCACAGTATAAAACATGGGAAAAAATAACCTAAGGGGAATTAAAACGCATTTAAGCTATCAAAACTTAAATTATCCTACCGTCACATACACACACACTTACACACACACACACATACACACACGCGTACGCACACACACACACAAACACAAATGGCTAATTTTTTATTCACGTAAATAATTGCATTCGTGATCAGTGAAATGAACGCTGGACAATGTTATAACGCATTTATCCAGCCCACCACCATCATTATTATCATTTCACACGTTGACACACACACACTTGCACGCGCTCACACGTACATGTATTCACAGACATCACAGACACATAAATGTAGATAATTGAATAAATAAATAACTTTCTCACTTTCTCTTGCTCTCTCTCTCTCTCTCACTCTTTTTCTCTCTTTTTTTGAAATCTTCTGAACGTGATTAAGAATAAATTTTGAAATAATATTTTTCCGTTGATTGTACAGCACAAGCACTTGAATGAACAAAAGATAGAATTAATAGATAAAAAAAGTATTAGAAGTAGTTGCAGCAGCAGTAGTAGTAGTAGTAGTTGTTGTAGTAGTAGTAGTAGTAGCAGTAGTAGTAGCAGCAATAGTAGTAATAGTAGTATAGTAGTATAGCAGCAGCAGCAGTAGTAGTAGTAGTAGTGGCAGCTGGGGCAGATTTAGTAGAAATACTGACTGTAAAACTAGTTTTTTAGTGAATAATTTAGTTGCAGTGGTAGAAAAATCATTAAAAAAGGGGCGGAATTCATGTCAATAGTTATAATACCATTTAAAAAGTATTAAAAACATTTTAAAATGTATTTAAATAACTTAAAAGAGTAATAAAATCATTGATTAAAGTAGAGAAACCCTAACCAAAAGTCCTGAAATTGTTACTAAGCATTGTAAAATTAATACTAAAAGTAAAATTTCAGTGGTGGCAGTATCATTCTTGCCAGTACCATCTGTTAAAACCTTTTAAAATTGAGAGCGTGTTAGTCTAGCTCTGTGATAATAGCGTTGAAAAAAGTTTGGGTTGCTGTGGGGTAGAGTTGTTATTGTAATGTATTGCTGTTCATGTAATGTAATGTGATGTGACGTAACAATAGACAGATAGAAAGAAAGACAAAAAAAGAAATGGATGAATAAAAATAAATGACTGAATGAATGAATGGAAACAAAAAAATGTATGAATACAAAAATAAGAAAATAATTAGATGGGTAGAAGAAGTACATGTTTGTGTGTGTGTGTGTGTGTGTAACTAGACAATTTTTCAAACATGCAATAGTGAAAAATGATTTTCAGACACAATTTTCCTTCCACACAATTAGCCAATTGTGGCTCTTCTACATATTTTTTCTTTTTTCTTATTGTTTATCTATTTATTTTTCAAATATTCATTAGTTACTACTGAAATTGTCCTAAATCATGAGTGGGCAAATTTTTTGCTGCGAGGTCCGCATTGAGAACTATTTTACCTTTGAAGGGCCGCACATGTACTTAAATAGCAAAGTTTTTCGATCCGAGGAGAATTTTTGTAAAATTTGTGGCTCCTTTTTTCATCATAATGTCTGGCTGACGACCCTTTTTTGTCGAACAGTGCCTCGCGGGGCCGCATAAAATAGCTCCGCGGGCCGCATGCGGTCCGTAGTTGGCCACCCCTGGCTGGCGTAGCGTAATGTTTTAAAAATCTAAGTAGAATGATATCTGAGTGGATGGTTGAGTGCTCTGTCCTTGATTGCATATGAAAACATCAGAACAACTCAGTGCAGCTCAAGTTATGCAGCGAAATGTCTGAACGTTTCAATGTGATGGAATTATTTTTGATGACGACAGCATCATCTAACGAAGGAACATTTGCTGTTCCTGAATGTAAAGCTGGAAAAAAATGGAAAAGAAAAAAAATATTTCAAGAGTGAATGACGACGAACGTACATCCATTCATCTAACTCGTACAACTGCATGTCGTTTTGGTCATTATTATGATTATTTATTATGAAAGTATTATGATTATTATGATTGTATTAGAAATGAAATATTATTGACAGTTATGAGCGCACGTATGTTTGTGTGTTTGTGTTTGTGTGTGTGTGTTTGTGTGTGTGTTTGCATATTTATCCGTAACGTTCAAGCAAATGTTTAGGTACTTATAATTCAATGACAAAATGCTGAAGATACTGTCTAAATCAAATTAACCCATTTCCTTAGCTTCTACAAAAACTTGCGTACACGCATGCGCGCAAATACAGGTAGCAGAGAAATGCTTTACGATGTTTATTGTAGAAAAATAGCGCAAGATGAGAACTGGGAGAAGCCAGCCTCCTATCAATGATATCCCATCTGCAAATACTTAACTCATCTAGTTACTATCTCTGGATGCGTAGGTACGCCGACTTAACAGACACACGCATAAAACGTATGCGTGTATGTGCACCAATTATACACGCAAATTTCGTGTACCCATGTTTTTGCACGTATGTATAAGTAAGTTTGCACAAATACCCATAAATACAAACACACACATACACACACAAACACACATACACTGAAACAGGCATTGATTTATGAACAGTGTTATGGAATAGACACCATGCGTTATGCCTGCGTTTTTGTGTGCGTTCGTTAATGCATGCGTGTATGCGTGTGTGAATATGTTTGTGTTTGTGTGTGTATGTGTGTAAATGTGTGTGCGAATGTGTGTGCGTGTGTATAATGTACATAATTACTACCATTTCTGTCCCATAGATACAACAACCAACAGCCAACAACAGCCAACAACAACTACCCCAGTATATGCCGCTATGCAAACATGTACTGTACATATACTAAACGGAAACCGGCACGAATTTATGACAAAATTGTTTCAAACTAGAATCACTATCCATAATATTATCATCAAATATTTTTTTTATTTATTTATTTTAAATAGTTATTTTCTGTTATTTTTATTTGAAAATCATTTTATTCATTGAGATTGTTTTTCTGTAAAGTTGTTAAAACTGTTTTATCATTGTTACACGCAAATTTTACGCATAGGTCTGGCGTTTTTTTCTGAACTCATATAGCTACATACGTTAAAAAAAACTTCCAACACAAATATTACAAAACTGACCTAATGTCAATAAATTTTCTTACTACAAATAAATAATTATATGTATATAACAAATTTATTCTCAAGAGTTACGAGAAAAAAAATTATTTTTCAACCACCTTAACTTCTTCTCATAAACACTGGTGGAGACTCTAGCAGAGGTTGGAAATATAATAAATGAATGTGAAAATTTGGTTTGCGGTGCAGTACTGAATGATAAATGATCATTTGCTGCTTTGTTGTACAAATTTTTGTTTCTATGGTGGTAGGTAGGTAGGTAGGCGCATATTGATGGATACACATTCATACACATTCATACACACGTACCCACAATCCCACACACACACAAATACACACACAACTTACGCACACACACACAACGTACGCACACACACACAAACAAACTTTGCATGATTTAACTATAGACCTTATCAAAACTTTGTCCTTTACAAGGGGTTTGAAAATGAAACTGCTCAATTGCTTAATTAGCTTTGGTGTTGATAATAAATTAATTGAAACTACAATAATTGAGAGATTTTGCTTGAATCTAATAGAATACGTGAAAGAAATGATGAGTGACTGAGCAAACAAAAGAATGAATTAAATGAATGAAATGAATGAAGGAACGAAAGTTGAAAGAACGAATGATTAATTTCATGAACAGCCAAAAATAAAACCTTTTTTCTGATTGATGGCTCGCAAGATCAGACGCCAACCGTAGATCCACTGAATATGTCTATCCGATACCTTTTGCTGCTACTACAGCTACTACTACAGCTGCTGGTACTCTCGTTACTACTGGTGGTACTGTTACTGATTATGGTGTTAGCGCCGCCCGTACTGACTATGACGTTAAACGTTACCTGTCTTTGTTTGAAATAGGTGAATTGTGAATTATAACCAGAATTCAAGAATAATTCAATAATTATTATAGTTAAATAATTCAATAATTATTATAGCTGAAAAAAAAACTTGAGCCGTACTGAAGGGAGAATGTTTGTCGGACCGCGTTTCATTGTTTGTTTGTTGTTTGTTCCTCATTAAAAACATACACGTCAACTCATTTGTTTTCGTGACGTCATTTTCAAAGATTTCAAAACTATAGATTAATAATTATGATAATAATAAAAATAATTATGATAATAATAATAATAACTATAGCCATATTACATGTCTATAGGTAGATACCTGGTCCCAATTTGAATTGCACTAGGGCTACATTTGACGCCAACATAACCAACACATTAAAATCATTAAACACAACATTAAAAAAGCACTCTCTGGATAGCTCTTCACGAAATAAATGGTTATATCCGCTAATAAAAGTATGAATGTAACACATACATACACACAAACACACACACAAACACACACAAACACACACAAACAGATATACATACACATGAGCGTACACACATATACAAACACACAAAGTGATATATATGTTGTGTGGTACATCAACACACACTTTTTTCTCCAAATGTAGGTGTTACGCGTTTGAATGAAAATGATTTGCTTAAATTTGCTTTTAAAATCAGCAATTTTACTCTACTACTGCTGCTACTGCTACTACTACTACTACTACTACTACTACTACTACTACTACTACTACTACTACTACTACTACTACCACTACTACTACTACTACTATTACTACTACTACTACTATTACTACTATTATATAATATTATTATTATTAACACTAATAGCTTCAGCGCAATCAATATTAACAATAATAAGAATAATTTTTATAAAAATATAAATAAAAATATAAATAAATAAATAATAATAATATGCGTAGAGATCATAAGGAGAGAGAGAGAGAGAGAGAGAGAGAGAGAGGGAGAGATGAAAAGATATCGTGAGTGTTTGACCTGCAATAACTGTCTCTTTCGTCATTTTTCATAACGTAGTCAGTGTTTCATCTCTATCTGTATCTGTATCTATTCTATTCTATTCATTCATTTGTTTGTTTGTTTGTTTGTCTGTTACAAATATTCAATCTCTCAGCTATTGATTTTTATTTATTTTTATTTATTTATTTTTATTTATTTTTATCTATCATATTTAGCTGTGAACAATGCCGCCTTATAAATTTCAACAAACAAAGGAAGAACATTTGTGTGTGGTGGGTTACGGGTGCAGGCACACACAAACACCCACACCCACACATACATACACATACATTCACACAATCACACAAAGATAAACACACATACACATCCACACATACATACACATACACCCACATACCCATACATTCACACATCCACACATACATACACATCCACACATTCACACAGCCACACATAGATACACACACATACACACATAAATACACACACACACACATACACATAGATGCCTTAATTTGTTTTTTAGATAGATAGAAATTACTGACAAGGCGACAGAAGTTGACTTACTTTCATAAATGGGGCTTTGACCACGTGTAATTTTTTTCTTTTTAATGTTCCGATTTGTCATAATAATAATATAATTAATAATAATAATAATGATATTAATAATAAAACGATATAATAACAATAAAATAATTTTAAACGCCACTACAGATTCACCATAACTTCAGCAATCGCAACAACCCAAGCTACTTCCGCTGCTACGACGGCGACGACGAACGCAAAACACAACAAAAGCCACAAAAAACCACCGCAATCGTCCTCCCCAATACCTGTCAATCATCCGTCAAGCCGCGCCTACTCGATCCTGACACTCCCGTCCAACGACGGATTTCCGGAACGAGGAGGATCCTCTTCCTATAGGAGGGATTCATTTTTCAATCGCTGTCTTTTTGACAATGAGGAGTTTGATATCGGCAGTCCGAACCGGTCCAATGTCTCCAGGCAGTCTTCCGTTGCAGCTGACTCGTGAGTTTGCCGTCTGGTGTGGCGTGTGGTTTGGCGAGTCGTCGTGTGGTTTGGCGTGTCGTCGTGTGGTTTAGCGTGTCGTCGTGTGTGGCATATCGTCATGTATGGTGTCGTCGAGTGGTGTGTCGTTGAGTGGTGTGTCTTCATCATCATCATCATCCTCATCATCATCATCATCATCATCACTAATCCTCATCATCACCATCTTCGTCGTTGTCATCCATTTTTGTCATCTTCATTTATTCTTCATTACCATCGAAGTTTAATTATTACTATTATAGCATTTGTAATAAAGACGACTACTACTGCTTTCATTACTACTTCCACTGCTGCTGCTGCTACTACAACTACTGCTACTACTGACTGCTACTACAACAACTACTACACTGCCACAAAGATAATTACTCAAAAAATTGCTCATGAATTAATTAGATATCTTGAAAAAATTTTCTATCTAGGAAAATGTTTCAAGATGGAAGTGAATTTTTAAATTGAATTTTCACAAAGTTGCATAATTATTTCACTGCCAAGAGATGGTTTTTAAAATTTTTTCATACAATTTTTTCATTAGTAGCAGTAGTTGTGGTAGTAGCAGTAGTAGTAGCAGCAGTAGTGGGTGTAGTATTAAAAGCAGTAGTAGTAGCAGTAGTTATTGGATGAATTATTTTTTTTCAAACATACTCGAATGACAAAAAAACAATTAATGAATGTTTGAAAATAATAATGAGAGAAAAATATAATCATTCGAACATATGCATATTTAAAAAAACTTGCAGACATGTATCTCACTGAACAGACAAATAAACAAACATGCAAACAAACAATCAATAGACCAAACAAAAGAACAAACAAACAAACAAACCTTTTTATTGTTTATTGACAACCTAAACAACTAAAAAACAACATCAACAAAATCTTCTCTGAAAACTTCTGCAGAAACATGGCATCGTATTCTTCTTTGATTAGTGCATTAATGAACCAAAATACTAATAGTATTGTCAATTTTGTAGTAATCTTATTCAACATTGTATTCACTTTTATAAAACATCTACCACCCCTACTACTGCTGCTACTACTACTACTACTACTGCTACTACTACTACTACTACTACCGTATTACTACTACTACTGCTACTACAGCTACCACTACTACTGCGGCTACTACTACTGCTGCTACTACTACTGTCAAGCTAAAAACATGAAGATACTCAAAACACACAAATACATGCATAACAATACGAATACAAAAAGCATACAAGCACATAAAAATGTAAATAAGTGATGAAACAACATAAAAACACATGTTAAATACAAAGAACCAGTATCAAACATCAAATAGTTTAAGCAAACAAAACAAACACCTATACAAGACATAAAAATAAAACAAACCAATCCAAATGTGCATTCTTAATTGAAGTTTACGCGTTCATGCTTCGTGTAAAATTCTGAATTTTTTTTCAGTTGATACCTTTGGAAATAAAAGTGACAACAATGCCAAAGTATTAGTATTAGTAGTAGTAGTTGTTGTTGTTGTTGCTGTTGTTGTTGTAGTAGTAACAGTAGTAGTAGTAGTACTAGCAGCAGAGTAGAAGCAGTAGTGGTACCATTTTAATAGTAGTAGTAGTAAGAGTAGCAGCGGATGTAGCAGTAATGCTGCTAGTAAAAATATTAGTTCTAGGAAATAAAAATATTTCTAGAAGTAGTAATGGTAGAATTTGCTGTAGTAGTAACATGAATTTTATAATAGTACTATAAGTAGTAAAAGCAGTACTAACAGCAGTATTAGTAGCAGTTGAAGCAGCTTTACTTGCTGTTTTAGTGGCCGTGCTAATAGAGTTTGCAATTATGTAGTAGTTAACGTTGCATTACTTTTAAATGGTTTTGGAAAATAATTTTGGAAACATTTTCAGAATAGAAATAATTTTGAAAGTACAGAACATGAAAGTGTAGAGAAATTATTTTTGAATTAAATTTCGAAGTTTTCTGGAATTTGAAATGACAAATTCTTGTTAAAAATTCTCGTTAAAATGATTCAACAGAATTTTGATGTGGAGGTGGGCAAAAAATATCTGCCGCTACTGCTACTACTACCACTACTACTACTATTACTACTACTACTACTACTGCTACTACCACTACTACTACTACTACTACTACTACTACTACTACTACTACTACTACTACTACTACTACTACTACTACTACACTATTACCGCTATTACTATCGTTACTACTACTACTTCTACGATTACTGCTGCTACTACTATTACTACTACTACTAATTTGCTAGAATTTAAAAAAAATGTTTAAATATGTAGCTAGTCTATGTTTTGAATGTCATTTAGATTAACTGTTTTGTCAGAAAATTATCTACTTTTTGTTTTTATTTTTGCGAAAATTGTTGATGAATTCTTAGAAGGCTGTTGGGCGTTTTGGCATTTCATTAGCGGAGGCAAACAGGATGCGGTTTTAGGTTTTTGTCTCCCTTAGTCCTTGCCGATTTGCACCTGAAATAGTTTGAAAAATGAGCAAACATATGATAGTTTCTATGAGAATAAAGAAGGCGTGGGTGTTTTGCATTTTGTTCGTTGTAAATGAGTGAGTGAGTGAGTGAGTGAGTGAGTGAGTGAGTGAGTGAGTGAGTGAGTGAGTGAGTGAGTGAGTGAGTGAGTGAGTGAGTGAGTGAGTGAGTGAGTGAGTGAGTGAGTGAGTGAGTGAGTGAGTGAGTGAGTGAGTGAGTGAGTGAGTGAGTGAGTGAGTGAGTGAGTGAGTGAGTGAGTGAGTGAGTGAGTGAGTGAGTGAGTGAGTGAGTGAGTGAGTGAGTGAGTGAGTGAGTGAGTGAACAAGTAAGTGAAGTATTATTATTAAAATGCTAGTTGTGCTCATCCAATCATCATCTGCTCATATAATATTAACGATGACCATAAAAATAATTATGACCATAAGATTAGTTTGTTGGTAATAATAGTAGCATGGACGAAATTTAAAAACAAATTTCTTTACTAAAAGCCAACATCCTATACAAAAAACTCTCCAAAGTGTAGAGAACCTAGATACAATCCTAATTTAACGGCACAACATCCAAACGCAATTCAATATACACCTCGCCACACCCCGCCACACCGCGCCACATCGAGCCACATCACATCATCTTATGTTAGATTACATTACAGTTATCACAATACTTCAAGACACATTATGTGCAATCACATCAGATTATATTTTATTATGTGCTATAGTAATGGAGTTTTTTAATTTTTAGATAGTTGAATTATGCATTCTTACTTAATTATTCATAAATTTGAGTTCAAACGTTTGCCTTTCTGTCTAATTTTCACAAAATTTATTACCGTTGTAGAATTAATGTATGCACTTTATTTTTCCGTTCTTCATTGTTTTCATTCTTTTATTCATTCATTTATTCAATCAATCATTCAATCATTCATTCGTTTTTGTATATTTTCATTTATCCATTCATTCTTTTGTTCGTTTTGCATTTTATCATTCTTTTCATCCATTCATTCACACTTCTATCTGGTGATAAAAATTCCCTCCTTGTTTTATTCATTCATTCGTTCGTTCGTTCTTTCATTCATTCATTCGTTCGTTCGTTCTTTCATTCATTCATTCATTTTCAACATAGTAAATTCATTCGTGACTTTTAATTTCTATCATGATTTGTTATAATCCAGAACAATAGCATTTATTATTTATGCAATCAATGAAAATATGTATTTATGTAGAGAGAGAGAGAGAGAGAGAGAGAGAGAGAGAGAGAGAGAAAAGGAGAGAGATTCAATATTTCCGAAAGCAATAAACACGTATTTATTTAAGGACAAATTTGTTTTATTTGATTTATAGAGGGTAAGTTTTTTTGTATCAGATACAATACAATAAAATACAATAAAATACAACACATTACAATACAATACAACATATTACAATACAATACAATACAACACATTACAATACATTACAATTCCAACCAACAATACAATCCCATACGACACAACACACTCAACGATGTCACACAGTAATATATGTACAGTACAATGGTATATCGTTGCAACACGAAACAAAACCATCTAACAATAACATAACATAACATAACAAAGATTTTTTACAGTGAATCAAGAAGACTAAAAAACTAAGGCATATTATTTCATCTCCAAGTTTGTTCCACTCGTTGACAACTCTGCAGCTGAAAAATTTTTGCTTTATCAATCTCGAGTTTTTATAAAGATCTTACACTTGTTATATTGTTGAATATTGCCCTCTTGTTTTACTGTTTGTATTAAGCTCAAAAAATTTCACTGATTCCAAATTCTCCTTCACAGTGATGATTTTGTATGCCTGAATCAAATCTCCTCTTATTTTCCTTCTGTTTCTAATGTTGCTAATCCACAAACGTTTAATCTGCCTTCATATGGCATACTGCGACACTCCTTCATCATTCTCGTTGCTATCCTTTGAATATTCTCGAGCATAGGTTCAATATGACAATCACATCTCTGCTCTTTACTATTCTTTTTATCATACCCAAAGTCCTGTTTGCATTGCCGTGCCACCTTACCATTCCGATGAATTATCACCCCTAGATCCTTTTCCTCTTCTACATATTTTAGTGGTGTGTCTCCAAGTTTGAATACGTCTGCCTTGTTGTTCGCTTCCATATGTGTAATGCAATTTGTTGGTATTGAATACCATCTGCCAATCCTCTGGCCATTCGCATATATTTTAAAACAAACCGATTCGATACGATACGATGCTTCGTTGAAAGATTTGAAAACGTGGATTAAGCAGATATTAAATAAACAGTGAGTGATTGACGGAAAATTTTGAATAAAAATGAAAAAAGATAAAATACTTAATATAATAAGAGTTATTATACTTACTACTATTAATTAATTATTAGTTATTATTGTTATTAATTTTGTTATTTTTATTATTATTATTAATATTTTTGGCGGGAGAAACATGCAATAGACAATGTTTTTCTATCGT